CCATTCAATTGGTATTCGTGAATGGGGGTGGGTATGTTAGTTTTTTGCTTACTCCGGTTACCAACCTTGTATATTCTTTATTTATTTTCTTGCTATATTAGTGTTCATACCGTTTTCATTTATTTATATATTTGCCTTCTTACTTATTTTTTTTTCAAATTTATTTTAAAAAATATTAATATACAAAATAGGTAAAGCCGGCCCTGTGGTGTATCGCATCAATATTTGAAACCCGGCCCCTATGTCAGGCGTGCAACGCATGCCTCAATAGATGGCCTACCACTTCATTTTCACGTGGGGGCTTTGCCCATTTACTTTCTCCATCCTCCAAGCTTTGCTTGCGTGAGCTTATGTGTATATTATATAATATATATAATACAATAATATAATATTGCGACGCACCCACTTGATTTCCCTTCTCACACGCACGCTGCCCTCTGCAATGGTCAATTGTTGCCTGGTTTCCTGTTAAATTAGTATCTATATAAATTCAATATAAATATCAATTAGTCAATACCAATACTAATACCAAATAATACAAATAATCAATACCAATATCAACTAATCAATCAATTAATCAATATTAACGTTAACATCAGTATCAACCAACTAATCAATCAATATTAATACTAATATCAATATCTATAATGCCAATATCAACATCAACACCAATACCAACAATACACCATCAATACCAATACCAATACGATTATATCCTTATCAATCAATCAATTAATTTATTAATTAATTAATTAATCACTTTATGTAAATATCGATCTTCAAAATAGAGCCGGCCCTGTAGTGCATATAGTGGAATGCGGCCTCTTGAGTTCAGTGTATTAGCCTGGCTTGATTTATGAGTGTGACCCTAAATTTATTTATGATAAATTTTTGTCTTCTTGCTTGAATTGGTTTATTTGCTTACGCCTTTTACGCTGGTTGTTTACGTTTGTCCACTATGAGAAAATTAGGTTGTTTATTTAACAGTTACGGAAATGTTCTTATTATTTTTTAAATTTAATTTTTAAGACGAATAGATTTCTTAGATTTTTTTTGCAACATTGTGAAATGCTTATATAAACATTTAACGATTATACGGTAAGACATGCAATTAGAAGAATTACTTAGCTTGATTATTAGGCTATAAACCTGATGCTTTGTCTTTCGCGGGGTGGCCTTCTCCTGTAGGTTTTTGCATAGAAAAAGGACATTTTTGGAACGCTCCGATCCAGGTGCGCCGGTTGACTTATCGTTGCTGCCCAGCCTCAATTAGGCACTTATTCACTTGCACACTTTTACGGCGTTATCTCACAATTTTCGCACTTCTTGCTTTGTTTATTTATGTATTTATTTATTATTCATTAACGATCACCGACATTTCCGGATACTTTGTTTCGTTTTTGGTATTTTACGTTTGTATCGTATACGCCACTTAGGAGGGAACTTGACGCATCCGACCTCTTCGAGCATCAAGACGGTACTGGCCCAGCACATATAAAAATGTATCATATCAAACCTAAAAATATGACCGAAAATAATATTTATCGTCCCTAGGGCCGCTAAACTTGATTATTTCACAATCTAGACACCTTTGACTGACATTTATGTATTTTGACATTTGACATTTTGACATTTGAGATTTTCAGACGTTTGTGTAAATCAAAATAAAAACGGACAACAAAAGTATAAAATAACAATAAAACCTAATTTAAATTTTGTAATAAAGTAAAAATGAATGGTAACTCGGACAGTGACGAAAAATTTACGAATACTTGACCAGATTTGAAAAAGACAATGCGTTGCAACGGTACGAAAAGTGCTATGAATTATATAAAAACTGGAAAAAGGATCAAAAACCCAAAAACTTAACAGAAAATGTATTAGTTGCTTATCTATCGGAAAGATCAAAGATAATTCTAATGAAACATCAACTTCATCTGTAGAAATAAGCCTTCAAATTCTGGTACTATCCACAATTGTGATCAAGGCATAATTAACATTAATTACAACAATAAATAAATTCGTAAATTGTTACTGAAGTTTTTTATAAAATTCCGTTTATATTAATACAATTTAAAAAAATATGCTAGGCGAAAAACAGGTGTGTGTCACACATTCAGAAAACGCATTAGCAGCCCTTAGCTATCAACTGCCCTCGCTTCGCTTCGCTCGCTCAGGCAGTTAATAGCCGCGAGCTGCTAAAGCTAGTTTTCTGCCCTTGAGACACAATATACTATAAGCTGCACTTGTACGTTTTACCGACTATACTATGGACTACACGAAAAAAAGCTATTCTATATTAAAGATCATCGCAAGCTCGCTCCTGCCTAAATTAAATTCGTGTATAAAATGGCGTTTATCAAACTTGATAAATAATATACTATTATCCACTCCTACATTGACGAGCTGTGACTTTATGGTGTTTAGGCACGGGCTGAAGTTAGCAATACAAAGCTTTTGGGCATTTTAGTCTAGGGCTGAAATTAGCTTTATTGTAAATTGAGAAAAAGTGAGGTTAAATCCGTTGACATTTGACAGATTTCAAATGTTTAACAAATAAAATTGGCTTTAAATTCTTCTTTGTGTTAGTCGTAGATAAAGTATAGTAACCAACTCGTTTTATAAACTTCTTTAGACACACGTTTTTATTAAACACTCGCTTGCAAGCTTCGCTCGTGCCTAATATAACTAAAATGGAGTTTATAAAACTTGATACATAATATACTATTAATTTACAGAATAGTCTACGTTTTTTTATTTGTATTCTACAATAATATAAGGTACATTCAGATTTTTTTTAAATAAATATAACAAAAAAAGTAGTTTGTCAAAATAAAGTAAAGATCACTATTCGTCCAACAATTGCTTTTGTTTCGGCAAAAACATCATTTTTATAAAAATTTATCTACAAATTTATCTACAAACGCTGCTTTCAGTAATAACATTTGCATTAATTATAAAGTAAATTTACGTTCTGTTTATGAAAATAACACTCTTCCAGATGCAGAAACGCATTGATATTTATATAGTTATTATTATTTGTCAAAAAAATTGTTCTATAACGTTTTGTAGTATTAATGAAACCCTAATGGTAAGTAAATTTACGTTCTGTTTATGAAAATAACACTCTTCCAGATGCAGAAACGCATTGATATTTATATAGTTATTATTATTTGTCAAAAAAATTGTTCTATAACGTTTTGTAGTATTAATGAAACCCTAATGGTATTATTCATAGAAATTTTGTAAATTTTACAAATCCCTTTTCGTTTAAAATAAATTTTTTTTTATAATATTAATAAAATTTATGTAAATTTAACAACAAATTAATTGTTAATTCAATAAACTATTTTCATTGTAACAATGGTCACATTTTCAACCTACTGTTGGGTGTTTTGTAGTTTTTTTTAATAATTGCAAGGCATTAAAGCAAATTATTTATTATAACTAAAAATTTAAATTATATTATATGATGTACAAAATAAAAAAAATATGAGCAACAAATTCGTTTATAAATATTTCTTTTAGGGAAATTTTATTTTGTTAGTGATATTTTTGATATTTTTATCATGCTATATTTTACCACACCACTCGCACAATGAAATCAATAAGATTATAACACAGACTGTGGATTATAAAGTTATGTTCACCATTTGGAGCGCTGGCCCTTTCCCCCTATTTTTAAGGGAAATATCAAAAATTTTGTTACCATTGCAAAACGATAGTAAATATTAAAAATATTTTGTTATTATTCTTAACGTAAGCTATTAATAAAGATTTTCTAACTGAAATAAAATTAATTTGTATTACAACGATAGTAATCTAAAAAAGACAAATATCCATAGTAAAATGAACAAATTTTACTATTATAACTGCGCATTACTTTATGTAAGCGCAATTTACACACAACTATACATTTAAAAAATACATTTTAAAAACGACAAAGATTTAATATAAACATAAAGTATTTCTTATTGCCATGAAAATATGATAACAACTATTACTTTGTTGGATGAACATTTTTTTATAAAAGCTCGACATTGCTGCTTCGAAGTATAGTAAATGAGAATTTTATTAACAGAAAATAAAGTTTATTCTGTAAATAAAAATAATCTCATTACTTTGACAAATCGTAGGTTTTTGTCCCTATAAGACACTGAAAATTTAATAAAAAAGATACCTTAGGTGGGACATCTTTTTTTAGCCATTACAATTTTAAATTTAAGTTAAATAATATAATTTTATAATCGCTTACAAAATTAGTTTAATTACACTGTTCAAAATTTCATGATTAACACCAAATTAACACCTATTTAAGGTCTCTTTAGTATCGAACAACTTGTAGTGTCACACCAAAGCAAAGGACTACCTGAGCTTATATACTCTTCATGTAAGTCAACAAAGGCGAGATTTAAGAACATCACCTGATCCACACCGCCTTTGCCGCGATCGGTACACACTATGCAACCATGAATGCACGACAAATTGTTTTAATCGTTTTAACAGAGTGCTTTAGGTGGAAGTAACTCTTATTTTACAAACAACATATTTGGTAAACTGAACCATACAGCGGGTTGGTTTTACAAAAGTTTTCTGGGTTAATTTAACCAATTTAAAAAAAATAAAATAACTATCTGGTTTAGTACCGTCAAACTAATCTTTGTTTATATTAACCTTCCCACAGTTGATTTAAATAAATACTTATGGGTCAACTAAATTAATATAGTTAAATGAACTATTCCTATTTTCTGTGTAGGTGCACTTCTCAAATATTTTTAGATAAACACCGTTTTGGTGTTTACTGTATATAACATTTTCAACCATAATTCATGGTGTTATTTTAACACCACTTGGTGTTGGATTTTGACACCATTTTAAGATTACTCTTTACACCACAGATATTTTAAACAGTGTATCAGTGCATGTACATTTTTCTTAGTGTATTTTAAAATTTTAATTATATTTACAAAATGTAATGTTTTTTTCCTTTTATTTTTCAGCTGTGCCGTTCCCACCAAGTCATAAGTTGACAGTGGCCGAAGTGTACGATCCTCGAACGGGGAAACCGCGACCGGACGTTCTTAAACAGCACTTTATTTTAGAAGGGCGCATCGATGAATCGGCCGCGCTCAGAATCATCAACGAGGGTGCGACGCTGCTGCGCAGCGAAAAAAACGATGATAGACATAGAAGCACCCGTCACAGGTCAGTCAAATACACAGATTATATGCTTTAAGCAACCTTAAAACCCTAAGAATATCTACTTCTTCCATAGTAGGCGTTGCTATTTTGAATGACAGTAAGAAAAAATTGAACCTACCCCTCGCCAAAGTTTTGAGTGCGTCCCACCAACTTCAAAAACCGACAGAGAGCTGTTTCGACCTATATTGGGTCTCGTCAGTGTCGGGCAACTTGGTGTAGTGGAACACACTAAAAACAAAGGACTCCCTGAGCTTATATGCTCGGTTGGTAAGCCAACAGAGGCGAGATGTATCAGGTGATCCACACCGTCAAACGACGTGGCCTTTGCCGCAATCGGTACATACTATGCAACCGGGACTGCACACAGCAATTGTATCACAGATACTAATATGACCTAAAGGAATCTAGAAATAGCCCAACCGGGCTAAACATTAAGGTAAACTTTGAATTTTCTTAGTTTCTTTAAGAAACTTGACCCATTACTGGTAATATTCATAAGAAAAAAAAATATGAATATGAATATTTCCAGTAATGGGTCAAGAAAGATTCTTAAAGAAACTAAGAAAATTGAGTGTTTACCTTAATGACTAGAAACGTCTTAAATCCAACTCAAACTAAAGACGTAAAGCATTAAAATATTCTTTATAATAGACATGTATAGAAAGCCAAAACTTGAAGGTAAATGCTTTCTATAGAGACCATTTTCTATATTCGCAAATTTCAAGAAACACCTAATGTGTTTATATCTAAGTAGGCGTTGATATTTTGACGTAAAAAGTCTTAAATCCAGCGCATGTTAAAGTTGTCCTGAGGAATCAACAAAGATGATTGAAATATTGGTCCCTTGGTGGTGTGCAATCAAACGGCAGTAAAGTGCGCATTAATTAACACACAGACGGATTAATTAAGCAATTGTACGTGCTTTGATTAGATTAAGCTTGAGAAATACTCGACATCTATTTATACTGTAAACAGTATACGCCCGAAAGCGTTTTGCCTTGCTTACAGTCAAATCAGAAAAGGTGTAAATACATCTTATATATTATGGTTTTCTTTATTCTAATAAAAAAGTTAACAATATGTTTTACATTCCTTATTATATTTTAAAAGATAAATTAATACAAACATTAATTTCCCATTTTTTGGGTAGCGCCATTCATCCATTGGTGAAGAACTTGTAATGTAATGTAATGTAATTTCTTAGAGAAAACCGAACCAAGTGATTTTCACAGGTTTCTTTTAAAACTAACTTTATACCATTAATAAAAATTTGCAAAGATCAAAACCAGTTTGATTCACCTAACTTATTCATTATAAGTTTATGCATAAACTCCATGGAGAACGGAAAAAGCTATCGATTTGAAATTTATTTATCAATTATTTTCCATGCCTAATATCAACTTTGGGTTTTCAAATGGAACCATATAAATATTATTGCATTTTTAAATTCTACGTAAAATTCTAGAAATACTGAAATTTAATTTTTTTTTTTTAGTTTTTGAGATATTTAATAGGCCGCACACCTAGGGTTGGGACAGATGAAATTTTCAAATGAAAATTTCAACTTTGAAAGTTTCAAACTTGAAATATTTAATTTAGTTGGAAAAGTGAAATTTTTCAAAATTTCAAAGGAATTTTTCAATCCGAAAATTTTAACATTGCCTGTGAAACTTTCAGAAATTTCATTGAAAGTTTCGCAATTTACTGAAAATTTCGCATAAATTTCACATGCGGCCTCCCCTGGGATCAAGCGTCTGGGCGTTTTTGTTTAGTTCGCCTTGGATTTGAATACACTATAAGTAATTATTGTTGCTTATATGCATAAATTAATTTAAATAATTTAATTCAGTTACCAATTTAATTTGTAAATTAAATCAGACTTTAAAATTTTTTTAAAAGTCATGATTAATTTAAAGTTTTACTTTTGTTATAATTGCATCGGAAACAGTAAAATATTTAAAAATAATAAATATATATATATATAAATATAAAACAATGAAAGTGGCACAATCTCATTAGCTTACCAAAAAGTGCTATATCTCTTTTAGTTTTAGTAATTTTAAAAATATTTTAAAAGGAAATCTCAAGAAATTTGTGGTAAACATAGGTATTTACTATTTATATTATTGGTGCAGGGGCCCACAGAGGGGTAGGAGGTAAGAAAGGCAATTTGCCATGGTCCCCGAGTGGGCTTATTTCAATATTAATATATTACACTTAAAGTGATTGAAATTTATTGAAATTTATGAAAGTTTAATAAATTTCATAAATGTCATGAAAATTTCAAGTGAAATTTCAAGTACATGCAAAAAGTGAAATTTTCCCAACCCCAAAAAAATAAAACCCGACTACCATCGAGTTTTCCTTCTACAATCCTTGTTTCCTGGACTACAAAGTACACATTAAACTTTCAAATCTTGTGAAACTATTGGCAGCAGCTACAAGCGCTTAAGAATCCCGTCTGTATGTATACGCAGGAAAATTAATCTAACACAATTGGAAAACTTGGCCCGAATTAGCGGCGTTGTCGGTCGCAAAGTTCCACTTTCATAATTTAGCGTCGAACGGGGACTTACTTAGTTTAATTACGTGTGCCACACTACTGCCGCTGCTCTTGTGCTGTAGCAAAATTTAATTTCAGTAATGTATGCAAAACTAGGACAGCCTGGGGGTGCCGCAAGGGCGGGTCTCCAGACATAAAACAACCCTCTTAATAATGTCATATCGGGTTGTCTTTGCGGTGTCTATGGTCTATTATAAATGTTGACTTTAAGTGGTTTCTCTAACAGCCCCAAGAAACATTTAACAAAAATGTTAAAAGGTTAATTAAAAGTTACTAATAGATTTTAAACAATGGTTTATTTATCTAGTGAAATACAGTGAATAAAGTAAAAATAAGGAATTCTTTCAATAAAAAAGGAAGAAAACCTGCCGTAACTGTCGGTATGTCAAAAAACTTTTTAAAATTCTGTGTCGCTTACTGAGATCGCTATTTGCTCTCTAATAATTAATTAGTCAAAAATTACTAGTTTTCATAGTGAAAAAGCTGCAGCAGAGCTAATCTAGGCAGAGCAAAGGTTCCCGTTTGTCAAAAAAAATTTTAAGTATCGTAAAATTGGTTAAATTGTTATAAAATGTCATAAAATTCACATTTTGTCATAGAAATCATAAAATTTCTTTATTGTTTAACAATTTTTTCCCCTTTGCTTTTTTTTATAAAATGGAAATTTTGTAAAATAAAATTTAAAGCCGGTCCTGTAGAATAAAACGCAATAAAATGATTTAAATACGGCCTTGTTTCATGACGTATGAACTTCATACTATGAAGGAAGAAGAAGAAGACCCATTAAGTTAGATTAGAAAATGAATTTTAAATTTCAAAATTTAAAATAAATAATGAGAATAGTAATAGTTATTTGTTTTACAAGTGTTGAAAAGCCGTTAGGCCGAGTGTGCATTAACACGAGCTTGAAGTTTTTTCTCCGACCCTTTTATTTTTTATTATATTCAAATAAAAAACAAAATAACCTAAAAACGTGTTGACAACTGTTAAAATTCTTTCATCTTATTCTTTTTAAGGTATAAGTTACTGAAAATCAGTAAACTTACCTTCTCAATTTAAATAAAGGCACTAAAAACTAGAATTTATTATACAAACACAATTAATGATATTTAGACATAGGTACATACCTATACAAATACAATACAAAATTTGAAACGAATGTCAAACGATGCTGTCAATTTCTTTTCACACAGACTCACACTGAAATGTCACTTTACATTCGTGTTTTGCCTTGCCAATGAAAAGATTCATTTTCTAAGCAATGATGCCAATATGAAATGTGACTTTTACATAGTGGTCGTAGAAAAAGTTATTTTTATACTACACTGCCCGTCAAAATTAACGCATAATAAGAAAAAAAAAGTCCAACTCTTTTCCAGAAAATATTTTTGAAGCTCTTTTATTTACTAATTAATAAAACGTTCGAAAAATAACTTTAAGGAAATTTTTAGTAAAGTAAATAAAAAATATGTTGTTAAAGACCGTATTTTCGTTAGTATACCCTCAAAATTTTGTACAAATCAAACGAACAGTAACGATGATACAGCGCACAGTGATCCCAAGCGCCCAAAAAGCTGGCAAAAAATCAAATCGTAAGTAAAAATGCTTGAACGTCAATACCTTTAGTTTTTTTTGGTCTAGGAATCCGAATCCGGTATCTAAATTTTCAAAAACAAAATGGCCGACACAAAATGGCGGACAAATTTTGACAAAAATTGTGCTATCATGGTGAAAATTTATTTACCTGAGTTTTTTGGGTCAAGGAATCCAAATCCTATTTAAAAATGTCCAAAAACAGAATGAACGTCCCAAAATGGCGGACAAATTTTGACAAAAATTGTGCTATCATGGTAAAAATGGGTTATTGGTGTCAAGAAATTTGTCAAAAATTTTTAAAGCAAAATGACCGTCACAAATTTTCCAAAATTTTTATTTACTTTCTTAAATGAGTGACAAATCTCAAAATTTGTCAATTTGTAAAGAAATAGTTAATTCGTCATCTTGAAGCGGTCGTCATATTGGATTTAGAATGATGCGTCAGAGTGGGGCAAAAAGCCTAAAAGGTTGGCATTAAATGTTCCGTTGTTTATTTAGATACGAATTACATGTAGAAAAATATATTGATATGAATACAGGATATTATACACTTTATACAGATGTAATTGGTTTAATATATTTATTAAATTTCTTGTCAAACTTTTGAAAAAAAGACTAAGACGCGTTATACATCCGAATCATCAGAAGTGGCGTCTTCGTCTTCTTCTAAATTGTCAGCTTTTTTTTTAGCAACCATTTGCACATTTGGAGCTTTAAACATATTAATTACTGCCGGCGGAAATTGTTCAATTTTCTTTCTTTTTATTTTACGTTTGTTCGTAATAACAGGATCGCTACTAACCAAAAAATGGTGGAATACGTCTTCGTTCGTTTTTGATCTGCTGCACTTTCGTGAGTTATGCTCCCGATATCTTTTAAAATCTTTGTTCCGAGCCTCTTGCGCCTCTTCACTTAATTGTCCGATAGGAAGTAGTGCTGAAGATATTACTTCAGGGCCATGTATTAAATACTTGTGCATGGTTGGTGGCATGTTGTACCAAGGATACTTTTCGACAAAGTACCTGGCAGTGTCGTGAACAAATGGTCGAAATTTGTCAACATCTATTTCGTAACCACTAGCTACCACTATCATGACTGTATGAATTTTTCTTATGAGCTCCACGTCAATTTGCGTTATCTCCGCTGACAATTCTGCGTTCTTGAAAAATCTTCTCGCGGTATTCCCATCATTCGTATTACCAAAGCCTGGTTTGGGCATATCAACAATTAATCCACATCTTTCCCTAAACTCTTTTTGAATGCGGGCTTTGTTTTCAGCAACTATTATTTTATCGCTTCCTCGAGCCTGCCATTTTTTTATTGGCAGTTTATAGGCCATATGCAGAAGGCATTCAAACATGCGAATCCACCCGTGTAATACTGATAAGCCAAATTCCAAGTTTTCAGTTTTTATGTTCCTGCAGATCATTTCTTCAACATTGTTAAAGTTTTTTGATGTTGCGCCACATATAAAGCATTTTTGAGTAGATGTTGTCTCAGTTAGCGCGTTACATACTTTGCCATCCACCATGGCGAAGATTAATTTGTGACTTACTTGCACACTTCTGTCTTGGACTATTGTGGTGGAATTTTGAATATTTTTTATTTCATCGTCGACCCTGCTTTTTTCTGCAATGGAAACTTGTGTAGACTCCTTGACAAATTGAATTTTAAGAGGCCTACAGTACAATGTTGAGGCTGGACTCGGGTTTTGCCAAATAATCTTTGTGTTACATACTAATCGAATAGGAACCATACACGTAATGAATACAGCTGAATCACTGGCTTCAGGGCCATGAAAGGCTTGTTTATAAGAACTGTGACCCGAGGAGCCATCAAATCCCCATTTTGTGTACATACATAATTTATCTAATTCAGCATCTTGTACATGTGTTTCAAATACATTTTTAATAGTTTGAATTAAACGTTGAACAGTGTGATTAAGTAAGTCCTGCAAAGGAACGATCGCTAAGGTTTCTGTGATACTAACATTTTTCGGATAGCATAGCTTTTTGGCTGCTAGGACGACGTTATACGAAGGAAATCTATCTGGAGCACTAGCCC